GGGTTTGGGCAGAAATTCATAACTCCTGCCCCTGTGGACCTAGAAAGTTCAAGTTTGGCACGATCACAGGCCGCAGGATGGGAACACTCATGGTGGAGTGCAGGACTAGACTCCGACCACAGGGGGCGGGGTTTGGGCAGAAATTCATAACTCCTGCCCCTGTGGACCTAGAAAGTTCAAGTTTGGCATGATCACAGGCCGCAGGATGGGAACACTCATGGTGGAGTGCAGGACTAGACTTCGCCCACCGGGGGTGGGGTTTGAGCGGAAAATCATAACCCCTTCAGGGGATGGGCTTGCAGAGAAATGTCAAAATAGACCTAGAGCGACCAAACTTGCTAGGAATACAGGAGGCAGAATAGGAACACTGATGATAGGTTGCAAGACTAAGTCGGTCCCAAAGGGCTGGGCGTGAATAAATACTGTTGGTTCGGACCCAGGCTGTTGAAACTTGAAGGCACTAGGAGTTGGCTGGGAACATTGATGGTAGTTTACATAGTAGAATCGGCAGCGATGAAGTCTCTGAATACGTTTTTCTCTAAATAATGGCCTTTTTGATATTATGCGACGTTATATTCGGACACAGCGAAGATGGCTTACAGAAAAAATCGCTCCTAATTCGGAACTAATACTGAGGGTGTAGAGCTTTCAAAGAAAAAGGAGAATCCGAAGTGTTATTTACGCATAGCAAATTTCTCACAGGAAGGAGGAGCGCCCGGCGTAGCCGGGCGAACCCATTAGAAGGAGGGAAGCCCGGCGTTAGCCGGGCGGCCCGACTGGTATATATAATATCAGCATGAAACAGACGCACCCCTTTGACTACCATCCATCCCACAATGACTGAATTTATACTCATGACGCTTTGTGTTAAGAACGCTAGAGTATTTTTGTAGTTCAGTCAACAGAAACGCCTTCTATCATGTTTCCCTTTCTCCAGTCTTCGTCGACAGCATCCGTCTATGAGGAGCGTGGTTAAGTAATTGTTAATCACTGTCTCTCGAAACTCATTTATGTCTAATGTTCGATGTTGTATCTTAGGCCGACAGATCTTTAGAATCTAATTCTCTTGCGATGCCCAAATCGACCCCTCAATCGTTATGTTTTTAAAACCAGGAGCAGATATGAAAGGATCTTATCGGTTCGAACTAACTTACAAATCACGTTCAGCTCCCAGCCCCGTCACTCCGCTTCTTGGTGGTATGCAGCAGGCAGAGATCGCATCAAGATCATGGACCTGCCTGGAATTAGCAAAAGAAGGCGAGCGTTTTTGTCGTGAGGGAAAATTTCGGGATGGTGAGCTGTTATCAATTTACTTATTTTTGTGCCATAGTGCTAGTTTCTATTGGAGTCCTCTTTGCTTTTTTTTTGTTGAGCCTTTTAAATCGGTTTTATAGGTTGAACAGATGTATTTAACCCATTTGCGAACGCGCCTTTTGGGTATGTCTGGCGTGTGGGACCGAGCGCGGTTTTCGCGGGCTGTTTTTGTGGCCCGCCAGCGGGCCACGCGGTCCCAGGACCAAGCTAATTTTTTTGTACTCATTTTCACCGCGACAAGAGAGTCCTATGAAAGTGCCATTGAAGTAGTGATAAGTTGTACAGACATTTAGGGCTACGGCATCTAGTTTTGTTTCATGGTGTTCGGAGGGTAGCAAGAAACATTTGCCAATTTATTCTAAACGTGCCTGCGTTATCTAGAAAGGAAGAAACAGACAAGATAAGAATGGCACGTTCTGAATCATCTGCTGCCACAGCAGTGTTACTTTACATTCCTTTTTACGTTTTTGTGACATGAAAGATAGTATTCAGAGTATTTACCTCGACGGATCTAAGATGAAGCTTGTAGAAGCCTTACTCAAAAATATCCGCAGCGAATCTCCCTCTCCAAAGAACGAGCCACAAGTTGGAAAGATCCGAGAGCGATCCGAAAAGCAAACAGATGTGCAGGTGCTACAACTAATTCCGCGAAGAAAAAGGGCGGACTTATGCCATGAACCATGCAAAAAAGTCTCGTCAGGATGCAGCAAATACCACAAATATTTACGGTTGGACTCTTTTTATTATCAGTAGGAGCATGTGCAACTTATCAATTGCTAACCTTTGACTTTGATCCCTTGACTTTGTCCTCAGAGGTATATCTTCACTATAGTTGGAAGTGAACGATTTTCGTAACTCTCGAAAGTTCGAAAATCGTTCGCTAAAAAAAGAACCTTATGCATAAAAAACACGTTGTTGCCTGCTGGCTGGCCTTGCGATCCCAGGAACACGACAGGGTGTTATAGGTGCTGTAGCACCGAACCCCGGTTTCTCGAAATGAGACCGTCTCAACGGATGGCACAGTTGCACGCGGTTAACAATAAATTTATCCGAAACGCGTACAACGACAACTTTGAACGGAAAATAGCAATCAAATAATGATACAATAGCAGAATGAAAGGAACGGAATCACTAGAATACTCGGAGTCCAGCGATGAAGTCCTCGGGCCGGGTTAAAGACGTCGGATTCGGGCAGTTGAAGCCGGGTGGGAAAGGCGCAGTCTGGGCCCCTTCTGGGTTCTGCAGACAAGAAGACATTGAAACGCTCCTCGCCCTTTTTTGATCCTAATAATTCCCGCCAAAACTGCACCTCTTGGGCGGCCGATCATTCCTTGACCTATCTGCACGGGTTCGACCTCCCTCATGCCACAGTGCAATAGATTCAGTAATATTCCAACACTAGGTTGGGAGATGACTGAAACTATGCGAAAACAAAAGATTGCACACTGGTAGGTGTGATTTTCCATTTTGTGGGCGTAAGTAATGAGCTTTCAGAGTACAACGACCGATCGACTGACCTACCGACGGTGTTGCTGGCTACGTGTTGACAACCCTGGATGCCTACGGATCACGCGCCCTCATCACTTACGCGGCCCTGAACACAGTCGTTGTGTGTTGTCGACACGTAGCCATCAACACCGTCGGTCGATCGGTCGTTACACTCCGAAAGCGCCAAGTGCCGGACATGTAAATCATCATTCTTCGAGGAAACGCAAAAGCTAGCAATACGAATTAACGAAAACCTAGCTAATATGAAGCGCGGCAGCGTGATAACGGTGCTTTGTATTAGGTTGATGCATAATTATTGCGGATTTTTTCGCGGCTTTTTTTCTCCCGAAAGTGTTTGACTATTGAGTTCGGGCTTTTTCTAGAAATGATCTACTTGATTTCCTCTACAAGAATATATACAAAAAATTCCCCTAATTCTGCCATATTCGCCAACAGAAACTTTTATGGATTATCTC